CATATTGTTTAATCTTGCTTCTTGATCCATTCTGCTAGTCTATTTCTTTTGATTGAGACCATTAACATTGGTGGTTATAACTGATACGTATTGAGTTATCATTGTCATGATATTTTCCTGTTGTTGACTCTTTTATTTTTTTTACTTTTCCCCCTTTCCATTTAATTTCTTGCCTTGCTGATGGCTTCATTCTGTTGGGGCTCATAAAGTGTAGTCCTCATTGTCTTTTTCTAGGATATTGGTTTTTTTGGAGTGCTAGTTTGGTATTCATGAAGTTCCTCAGGTGTTGTTTGTGTTAAAAGTATCTCATTTATCCATTGATTTTGAAAGATAGATTTGCCAAACACATCAATCTGGGTTGGAGGTTGTTTACTTTTAGGGCTTGAAATGCTTCAGGCTCTTCTTGACTTGAGGGTTTGTGGAGAAGTCTCCTGTGATTCTGATGGACTTTCCTTGTATGTGATTTGTTTCTTTTCTCTAACTGCTTTTAATATTTTGTTTTTCTGTTGGATTTCTGGAATCTTGGCTATTATATGCCCAGATGTAGGTTTTTTTTGATCATGACTAGTTGGAGTTCTGTATGCCTCACTTATCTGTGTGTCAAACTCTTCCCTTGCTTGGGTAGTTTTCTGCCATTACTTTTGTGAACAGGTTTTTTTTTTAATGACATTTGTGCTATCTCCTGCTTTTTCATTGACTCCGATCAATCTTATGTTATTCTTCTTTGCATCATCCAGCAGCTACTGGATTGATTTCTTGTGGTCCCTCGCTATTTTTAAGAACCCTCTCTTTTCACAATCCTGACTTGTATATCTGATATTCTGTCCTCACATTGGCTCATTCTGCTGCATATACTTTCAATGGAGTTTTTAATCTCCTGGATATCTGTTTAAATTTGTTTCATGGATTCCATTTCTTTCCTATGTTGGTCGTTCATGGTTTCCATTTCTTTCTTATGCTGGGTGTTCATGTTTTTTATTATGTTCCTGATCTCCTCTATTTTTTTTTTTTTTTTACCTGTATCTGTTTTAGAGTCACTGAGCATATCTTTCACTCTGGTCACTATCTCTGTAGTTATCTGGGAACTTATTTCTGATTTCATTTTTTCCATAACCTCTGTCATCTGTTTTGTTACTTCAGGGAGTCCATGTGGTTGGCTTTTGGATTGTTCCACCTCCTTGCCCCCTTAATTTGCCTTTGGTGATCTGGAAGTCTGGTTTGTGTCTTGTTTAGGTGTCTTCTCATTTTTGTTGTTGTTGTTGATGTTTTTGGTTTAATTCTTGGGTTGATATTTGTATATTGCTTATTGTGAGTATCTTTATTGCTAGTATTTAGAACCCTTAGGGAATGACTACCCCTCAGAGGTGTCTTCCAGGTATAGCTGGTCTTTGGGTTTTGAGTCTATAATGACCGTTAGGTAATCTCGGTTTTACTATATCAGGAAGGACTGCTGACTAGAACAATCATGTCACCTCAGCCAAAGTATTACAATCAGCATCAACAATAGCATCAAGCACTGCTTAGAAAATGACAAATTGTGGCAACTGTTAATCTGTCACCTTTAACCGCATGAACTAGGCTTGTAGCTATATATCAAAATCAAAGACCAATCAGAAATATGTTTGTAGTAAATAAGCCCTTCAGTATAGCAAATGTACCCTCTGGGAAGAAGACTTAGAGAGAGTTGGGGGGGGATAGAGAAATAGAAGGAGAGGGAAAGGTTAGAAGTAGGGATAGAGGACACAGGAAGATCATATAAACTTTGGGAAACTGGTGAAGACAGGAGGAAAAGAGAGAAGGAAGGAACTAAAATAAGAACAGAATAAAGTAATGGGAAGAGGAAAACTAGAGACTGTGTTCCCACTCTTACAGAAATAAGAACAATCAAGAAAATACAAAACAAGAGAAAAATGGGAACAAGAAAGGAGAGAAATGAAGAAAAAGGAGAAGAAAAGAAAAGAAAGAAAAAGAAACAAAGTCCCCTTCAAGGCATGTCTCTGTTGTCACTGGTAGACAACATGGGTAGCAGTGTGCAGATCCAACTCTCTTTATCTCAGCAAACCAGCTGTAGTCCACTGAAATTCAGACTGGTTTCTGGCTGTGAGGCCAGAACTGAGCTCCCTGACCTTCTGCAGGTTTGAACTCTGTATAGTTCTGCTGCAGGTTTGAGCTGCCCTTCCCCCACAGCAAGTCTGGGTTGTGGTAGGAGGTGCTGACCCAACCAGTGTAATCCACTGCATCTTGATTTCATTGTTCTGGAGGGCTTCATTTCTTAACAACAAACCTTGGAGAGGCCTCTTCTCTGCTGCTCACCACTCCGGAGCTCAGAAGGATGGTCTTTCTATTCTCCACCATTGTCTGGATCTGGCCTTCACTCTCGCAGGTGGTCCACTGCTGATGGCCCTCAGAGGTGGTCCCATCATTGAAGGCCCACTTGGGAGGAAACTGGCAGTCCTGCTGGTGAAGGCACACATGGGTGGTCCTGCTGGTCTATGTCAATTTATAGAAGGAAAAAATGTTAAAAAAGGAAATCTAAATTATCTAAATAAAATTGTGTTTAATGTAGTAAATGAAAATAATTATTTTAAAAATTTCAGTGTCAATGAAAAATGGGCATAAGACTTTAGGACTAAATCATTGCTTTAAAATAGCAGTAGAGTTTTAATGTAAGAACAAATGATCAAACTTTTTGGTGAGAAATTGACATGTATATAATTATGTGGTGAAGTACTAAGTTTTTCCATGTGATAATCCTAATTTTTCACATCCATTATATATGACCATAATCTGTAGATAGAAATTTATTCGTAGTAAAGTGCACTCAGTTGTGCAAACTTATCTTTTTAGGGTCAAAGAAGAACCCAAACCACAACCGACACAGTGAGTAAATGTCCTGAGAGTGCAGTAGACCTCTGTACTTCCCCACCTCTGCTTCCTGCACCTTTGACAGTATTAGCTTACACTAATACTGGATAGGCTGCAGCTAGTGTGTCCTCTGCTTTCTTACTCTCTGCTTGTAAGAGAGCTGCCTGCAGCTTCTTACTTCATCCACATAGTGACTGGATGTAGTTTTTTGCTGCCTGCTTGTGGACTGGTTAAATGTTCAAACTTAATTTTCCTACATTCTGACTGCCTGGATGGTACTTGGAGCTCACATTTCCATTGGCTGTAGCTTTTGTGCCTGTGTATTCTTATTATTATGGATAAGAAAACATTTAACCTACATTGTTATTTATTTGGTTATTCAGTCACATTATTTGCTTATTTAAACAGGTGGTTTCCCTTTAGTGGGATCACTGAACTGGTAAATAACGTTCTTCAACCCCAGCAAAAACAACAAAATGAAAAGGAGCCCCAGACGTAAGTAAGCTGATCTATATAGACTAAATTTTATCTCTGATAGCATAGGATACTGAAAACATGTATTAAAATACCATCCTTGGAATAGTATGCCCTCAAAGAGGAATATTATTAGGCTAGAGTTTATGTTTCAACCTTTAATCATCTCATGGAAATTTAAAATAAAAACAAGGATAATTTATAGGACAGTAAAAAAGAAGAGGTAGTTCCCAGTTTTAGAGTAAACAATGTAAATAAAGCATATTTGCTCAGTAAAATATCTTTCTCCAATAATGTAATGTATTCCAGAGTGTTTTTTTTTTAACAGAATTTCTAGAAGGCATTAAGAGGTATTAACTCAGAAATTCAATCTTTGGCCAAATAGTTTTGGAAAGGTTATTTTTAAAGAAGTTAAGCAATGGGCCGGGGATTTAGCCCAGTGGTTCCACCACCTGCCCTGCAAGCACAAGGACCAGAGTTCGATCCCCGGTACCAAAAAACCCCCCCCAAACCCCCCAAAAACCTTGCCTTCTTTAAAAAAATTAAGCAGGTTTCTTTATTGTAATAATTCTGAGAGTCTAAATATCCTACAAGGATATTAGAACATATGCTGTTTATTAAGTTTATTTAACCACTGAATCCTGTTTTCATTTAACATTTCATTAGATTATGAAATATAATTTGGAAAATATACCAGTTTATTTTCACATTGACCTGAAACATTAGAAAAAAGTTGATTCTTTTTCTTTTTAATCTATTAACAGATTAAAAAAATTTAACTCACATTTAATTGCACAAGACAGAAGTGACATAGTTTATTGCTTACTGCACACTGACCCAGACTTGTCACAGGGCTTTTAACATGAGCTCAGAAAAGGAGGCAACCTCTATATAATGATTGCTAGTAGCATCAACTATAGTTATTATAGATTTCATTCGCATTTATTTTCTGAGATGGAAATTTTAGGATGCCCAAAATAAGATTTGTCAAAAGATAGCTATTGCAACAAGGATAGTTCCAATATTAATCCCATCCCTGGTACTGTTACTTCTATTATGATAAATGAGACTATGGGTGAGGGTTAGTAATGTAAAGACAATCCAAATACAGAAATGCCCCAGGTTAAAGGGATTGGCTATTTGTAGTGTGAAAAGGAACAACTATTAAATTTTGTCTGTGGGATTATGGGAGAATTTTGCCTTCTATTTAGTGGTAATTAAAGACTAAAGGAGATTAAGAATGATAATAATGAAAATATGTGAAAACATACTGAGAAACCTTTGATCATGTTATAGTACAATAATAAATAAGATTAACACTAAAGAAAGCAATCTTAAAAAGGAGTAGAAATTTCAGAAAATCAGTCCTCTTTTTTATCTTGGGAAGAGGTACTTTACCTTATTTTGTCATTAGTTGTATCCAAGAGCCAGTGATTAGCTGTTTTATTTTTTCCAAAGATCATGTGCTTCTGGAGGATTCTTACGACCTTTCTTTTTAAGGTCTTTTGATGGAGCAATTTCCCAACAGCCCAGGGAAAATGGTTTGTGTCTTTTTAGTTGTGTAACATGAATCTGAGAAGCAGCATTTTGGAACTTTTACAGAAGTGCTAATTGTTTTATTTAAAAATTTATTTATTTATTTTTGTGCTAATTGTTAAAATGATTATTGTAATCTTTTCTGTTATGAGTGCAGGGCAGTTTTTCTTTCATGTGTTTTTCTGGTAGACTGTAGATTTCAAATGATAGAGAATTGCTTAGGAGGATGTCTTTAGAAGACTACTTGGATCTTTGCTGGTAACACAGTATATCACCATGATTCCTGGGCTGTATTTACTAACTTTCCATAGAGTCGAATCTAGGATCAGAGATGAAATTTAAAAATACACAGTGCAGGCTGTTATAATTTAAGGAGAGAACAAACGGATCCACAAAAGTGTTGCTCTCATGGTTTAGGAAAACAAAGAGTGATGGAAATTGGAGGAACTTTGAGAATATTATTACTTTAGTTTTAATTTTAAAATTCCACTTGTTATTTCTACCTTTTTTGAGGTTTGAGGTTGATATGGACAAAGATATTTTCCTGTAATCTCTGTATTTATTGGTGTTTGACTAGTCAAAGCAGTTGAGAAGGAGTTTTGAAATGATAAAGGCAATTCTCGTCCATATAGATTTCCAGGTACAATACAGTTTTCCGTGTGAATAATCTCAAATTGACTGCATCTGTTACATACCTTGGAACCATCTTAAATTGTCTATGGGTCAAGACAAGGATAAATAAATAAAAATTATAGGAGATGAATTACTTAGAAAATACTATTTAGAAAAATTTGTAAAGGTAGCAAAAATATTGCTAAGTAAGTTTTTATTAATACAAAATGCATTTAATGAAAAGTGCACAACTGAAACTACACTTCGTCGAATTGTTGGACCGTGAAAGTATCTGGAAAGCAGCACTAAAATGAAGAAACTGAACATAGCCAGCCCTTAGGATCTCCTCATGTGCATTTCCGGGGAAGACTGTCTCCCATCTGCAGGGTGACTTTTAGCCTCAGCTTCTCAAGTGCTGGGATTACTGGCCTGCACCACCATGCCCGATTGCAAGGGGGACTTTTATGCACACTATTTTCTATCTGGCATCATTATTTTGTCTATTTTTATTTAGACTTTGTACAAATGAACTCATACCATATGTATTCTTTGGTTCTGTCTTATTTTTCATGACACAATATTTGTGTGATTCATTTATATGATTGCATGTAGTTGTATTTCATTGCTGTTGTGAAGTGGTACTCTAGTATGTGAATATACTACATTTTATTTATTTTTTGGTGGACATTTGGCCTTGTTTTTAATTTTCTGGCTATTAGTAATGCTGCTATATACATACATTCTGATGCCATTATTTTTTCAGTTATTTTGGAGGAGAATAATGTAGTTATCTGTGAAAGTAAAGTATTTTAGCTACCTAAAATATTTTAAAATAATAAACCTAGTTACTAAGTCAGAGTCTATCTGTCTAGTTTCTCATTTATTTATATGATAATGCTATATGTGCTGTTTGTTATGCACACCCTACTGTTTGATGTCTTGGTGCCCCTACATCTGGTCTAAAGGGAAAAAAGGTAGAGTAAGAGAAGTGGCACAATTGGATCTCCTTTGTGCATCATGAAATTGTTCAGGCACACAGTTAACTCTGCCATTGAGGTTAAGTATAATTCTTTAAGGTCACACAAATTGTAGAAAATGTAAAAAATGTGATCAGAGATTTTTTTCTTTTGTGTTTTTTTAGAGTAAGAACCTATGGTTTTTTATCTAGAGAGCATTTTGTAAAAGTATTTTACTCCGTAATGTCTGTTTCAAAGAAGTATTTATCTTTGATTAAGGAGATGGCAGTTGAAAGTAGAATATTTATAGTGGAGTCAAAAGGATTTTTCTGTTACCACTTTAAAAAATCATTTGTTAAATAATTTTCTTCAAGAAGCAATGAGACAGCTTTCTCCTTGGAGTGATGTAGGGTATCTGTATATTGAGAATGAATCACTCCCTAGATCCAGTAACAAGCTTCAAGTACAGTACTTCTACTTATTTTTAATCTCAGGCTCTAACATCAGGATTATTTTATATTGCAAATGGAATATTAATTTCAGTTTCAGAGATTCTATATCGAGTGATTATATATATTTTTTTGATGAAAATGACCTTAGTTTAATTACCATTTGGATATTTTTTATGGGGATGTAATAAGACAGAGAAACAAAGCCATTTCATTAAGATATGTAAGATATGTATTAAAGAGAAAAGATTAATATTGCTAAAGAGCTTCACATAAATTCAGATATGAGCTTTTAAATGTGGTTATTTTTTGCAATACTTCTAAAATATTTTTTTCAGATGAATCAGGATGAAACATCTGATTCATTTGTGATAGTTTTGTAATATTTCTCAGCCATGTCATGCTTAATTCCATAACTTGTAATGTCAAAACTAAGTTGGCTCAGATAGTATGGGAAATAATCCTTAGCCAAAGAAAGATACAGCTGTGGTAAATACTTTGAAAATATTTACTGAAGGAATTAGAGCTAATAAAGGATATTATGGAATATCTTCTAGAAGAAGTGGTATTGAAGTGCAAGGAGAATAATGAGCTATGTAAGGGGAAAGCAGAAAGTATCATGGTTCTATTAACTTCATGAAATTGTTGAGGAACTTGCTTCTTTTTTCTTAAGCTATATATGAATATTGAAATATCTTGTAGTGGTCCTTATACTTAAAAAAATGGATTCCTTTAATAATCTGGTGAAATCTATAGGCGCTTTCCTAAAAGAAAAGTATAAGCAATTACAGTACAAAGGAAGCCAGTTAAATTGAAATACAGTTCTGTCCATGTACTCCTTGGGGTGGGTTGCAAATCACACAGAAACATTTGAGTTAAAAAAATTACCTGTAAAGCCATTATAGGTGGTTCTTGTTTCTTTTTTTCTTTTCAATGTTAGTCTATTTTTTTTCCCCATTAACTTTATTGGTGCATTTTAGGTATAAAATACAGTTACATTCATCATTGGGATCTTGTACCATTACATGAGTCTCTTGGTTCTTATTTTTTTCCCCTTCCCTTGCCCTCCCTTCACCCCCTCCACCCTTCCCCATTTGCAAAGACCTTGTTTCCATTTTTTTCCTCTTCTCATATTTTTCCTTTCCCTTTTTCCCCTTCCCCTACCCCTCCCAATTCCCCTGGTCTTTTAGACTTTTTCTTCCTGTTACACAATATCAGTTATACATTTTTTAAATTACAATATCAAGATCTAGGAGACATTATCACAGATTTTACAGAATTTAAAAGGATATAGAAAGCATATTACAAAAATCTTTTTTGAAATAAATTCAACAACTTCTAAGAAGTAACTTGGAAGACAAATTAATGAAACTAACTCTGGAGGAAATATAAAATTTGAGTAGCACCTATTAAAGAAAGTATGTTCCTGGCTTGAAAACCTACCTGTATGACAACAGCAGGCTCATAA